TGAAAGTAATTGGCGCGCAGTCATATTTCTGTGAGATAAATTTATTTACATGTTGATGTATTATTTCGAACATCCGATAGCATTTTTAGCTCGAATTTGTACCGATCACCTGGGTTGGATTAATAACATTGTATGTTCTACTATTGATAAAATATGGCTGGTATTTACAACTGATTCTTATATTTAAGACTGTTTAAGTACAGTCTTATATTTAAGTTTTATATTTAAGTACAGTCTTAAGATATCACAAATCAATCAGAAATATACAGGGTGTCCCATTTTAAATGTTCACCCTAAATATTTTGAAAACTATTAGTTTTAGAAACAAATGTTTTATACAAAAGTTGTTTGCAATCGAGGGGGACATATAAATCTTTAGGTCCCAAATCCCCCCATCAAAAATTGTGGCCCCCCTGGGGCCCCAAGTAATTTTTTTAAATGGGACCATCTACTTTTAACACCGGATTCGAAGAGAGCGGGAAATTTGACGTCAGAAATGATATTTAAAAATTTTCTATTTTGACCTTGAGAAGGTCAAAGCAAGGTCAAGTGTTTAAAAAGCACTCAGAAGCTGTTTGTTTAAATGCGTTTATCTTACTTTTAGCATTACCCAGAAACAACGATGTGGACATAGTAAGTTCTGTTTCCTTTAGGGTGCTTGCTTACCGTGAGTCCGTTGTGCAAAAACAACATTTTTTAAGTAGCCCCATAAATAAAAATCTGGAGATGTGAGATCTGGTGAGCAACGAGGCCAATTAACTGGACCTCCTCGTCTGATCCACCTCTCATTGTAGTTGTTATTTAGAAAGTCACGTACTATTCGTACAAAATGTGGCGCCGCATCATCTTGCTGGAGCCACATTCTTTGTCTTGTAGCTAAATCAACATCTTCTAACAGTTCTGGCAACCGATCTCTTAGCAACTCCAAATAGCTATCTCTATCAACGTTTCTCTCAAAAAAATAAGGACGAATGAAGTAACCATTTACTATGCCACACCATACCATAAGGCTCCATCGATTTTGATGGTCTACAGGTATGTGCCAGTGAGGGATTTTGATTTGACCAATAATTTATTGGTCATTTTGCACGAATAGTACGTGACTTTCTAAATAACAACTACAATGAGAGGTGAATCAGACGAGGAGGTCCAGTTAATTGGCCTCGTTGCTCACCAGATCTCACATCTCAGATTTTTATTTATGGGTCTACTTAGAAAATGTTGTTTTTGCACAACGGCCAACAACTAGAGCAGACATGAAAGACCGTATTCGTCGAGCTTGCGCAACGATTCCAAGAGAAACTTTGTTAAGAACAGTACAACATTTCCAGAGGCGATTAAATTTGTGCCTTGAAGCTAATGGAGGCAACTTCGAACATTTGCTTCGTGGTTAATAATTATAATTGTTATAATAGTGAGAGGCAAGGGAACTCACGGTAAACAAGCACTCCAAACGTGAGAGGCAAGGGGATTCACGGTAAACAAGCACCCCAAACGTGAGAGGCAAGGGGACTCACGATAAACAAGCACCCCAAAGGAAACAGAACTTACTATGTTCACGTCGTTGTTTCTGGGTAATGCTAAAAGTAAGATAATCGCATTTAAACAAACAGCTTCTGAACGCTTTTTAAACACTTGACCTTGATTTGACCTTCTCAAGGTCAAAATAAAAAATTTTTATATATAATTTCTGACGTCAAATTTCCCGCTTTCTTCGAATCCGGTGTCAAAAGTAGATGGTTCCATTTTAAAAAATCACTCTGATCTCCAAATGACCTTGGAAATTGACCTCAAGGTCAAATTCATTAAATTAGAAAGATGACCCCCCCATTGTCCTGAACAAGTTTTGTCTGAACTATTTTTCTGTATCTGCCTTACCGACGGAGAAATTTGAGTGGGTCCCGTAAAATAGCCTACCGTATATAGTTATACTGTGCCCTTGCAGTAGACACTTTTGTCATCAATGCATTAAGGCAAGCATTAAGGTGCGTTTTCACTGAACGCGTCACGTCGTCACGAGTTAACTAATCAAAACGTATCATATATGAGTACGTTTACACGGCATCCTTAATCGGGTTTAATAATACCTGTAATTAAAATTGGCCATAGCTATTCCTCTGAAGAATGGAGTAACTATGATTTGCCAATGGACATCCCGATTTTTTTTGTGTAGCAAACCTCGTACGGTAATGTCCACGTTTTTGTGGTTCTTTTCCATACTATTACGTGAATTAGACAAGGACGAATAACCAACTTTGATTGTTTATCCTTGTCTAACCTATATAGAGATTTCATACACGAAAAAGGCCGGGATGTCCACTTTCAGATTTCTCTTTCTGGTATTATATAAGCAAGACATAAACGTGAGTATTTGCCACAGAACTCATAGTACTGGAATGGGAATGCAAATGTCAAACTGTGAGCAACATCTAAAGAACAGAAATATCTTTCTATCCTGATCAGTGAAACACGTGCACATGCGCAGAAAGAAAAAAAGTCATCAAGCAAGATAGAAATATATAGAAATACATCTTCTGTCTCACAGATGCTCACACCTTCCATTCACTGCTTGGATAGGTTATTCCTATTCTAGTACTATAAGTTCTATGGTATTCGCACATCCCCCATTTTTATTCCTTTCCCCACTCCTTGCTGTGTCCCCACTCCGCCGCCGAGCTGAGAAGGTTACGGTCGTTACGGTTGTTATAGGTTATAGCTTCTAATCAAAATACAAAAGCTTCACAAAATTTTTACTTGTTTTAATTTTTACGTTTCACGTTCTAGAGGAAAAGTTATATATGATCGATACTCTGATCTCAAAAGCTTTTAAGTTGTTTTCAGTTTACTTACATTATATATATTATTGTTGAAGTTTTTCATTAAAAATATTATATGCAATAGGTAAATAAAGAAATGTTTAGTACAGTTTGGAATTCGATTTATTACATGTATCCAATAAAATTCTGATTATAGTTAGTTGCATATGAGCTTTAGGAAAATAATTTTTACAATTTATGGTAGAAACATGTTATAGGTCATTACGATAGATATTCAAATGATTTTGAGAGCAAAAATGGAATGAACGGAGTTACAAAATTTCAAGCAGTTTACAAATCATAATCTGTAATGATCGTAACCCTTCACGACGGAGTAGGGATAGAGCAAGGAGTGGGGAAAGGAATAAAAATGATGGATGCGAATACCTAAATTTCTAGTGCTCTAATATAGGGAGGGTCCCAGATGGACATAATCCCAGTTGGACACTGCATTCATATCGGCCGGTGCCTAGTAATTTTCTAGTAGACCACCAATAAAAAAATTTATTTTAAAGTAGCCAATTAGTGGTGTGTTCGATTGGGACCCTCCCATTATATACGCATAAGCTTGTTACGCGTGACACGTTCAGGAAACGAGGCCTTAGGGTGGAGTCCCATGAGGTGTATTTATCGCGTATCGCATAACCGCGTAACCAATCAGAAGCGATCTGCTGTTATAGTTTCGCGTTTTACTGATTATTGATTGGTTATGCGCTTACGCGATACGCGGCAAACATGCCTGATGGGACTTCACCCTTCTCGCGTCTTATTTGGACTGCGTTCCAAAACGTAACTAGTGTATATCAATTTCCCCAATCACTAATTGGCTAATTTAAAATAATTTTATCTCATTGTTAAAGCATTAAAAAATTACTAGAAATCGATCGATGTGAGTGGTGTGTGCAACTGGATATCGAGCATGAAACTTTTTCTAGGATGAAAAATGAAAAGTGAAAAATTTCTCCGTTAACTTCAATGGTAAAAATTTTCACTTTTCATTCTAAGAAAAAAGTTTCATGATCGATACCCAGAACTGTGTGCAAGTGCATCGCTCCTAAAAAACGTAACTACAATACAAAACTCTATAGTTTACGTAACGACAACTATAGAATTTTAGTTATTGTAATTGAGTTTTGGAACGCAGCCCTGTAGGAGCCATATCAAGGGCACGATGAAATTGTGCCCATGAGGATTCACTCTTTACATGCAGTGTGAATTCATCATTAGCTTGATATGAACATAAAGCGCCAATTCCCAATCACTTAAAGTATTAGGCACGTAAAACGATGTAAGTAGTAAAAATTGAACAAATTAAGCGAATCAACGAGTCGAAATTAGGATTATAACTAAAGTTAAAAAAATGCTCGATTTGTTGATTTCGCTTATTGTTCAAATTTTACATACCGCTCATATTCTTATCTGCCATGGCTCTAAGTATTGATACGTATGTATATATATCTTAAAACCGTTAGATATTTATTTGTCCTTTAGCATTTTTCAATTTTCTACAGATCTTGATCGATACCATCAAATGAGTTTCTCTATTTATATATGTTCACTGAGTCCAGATTTATGTATCTTTATTCATCTAATTGTTTAAAATGTATGCATTGATAAAGTTTTACGATAATGTGCATTATGTGTGTCGTTCGAGTCATATTCATACTGATAAACGAGGTATCACAACAGTCAAATATAATAATCAATGTAGATACCTTGCAACCGTTATAGCAAAAAACGGTAAGTTAGAATGACTAATCTATTTTTTTAACGTTACTTATAATGGAAATATATAATAATAGCTTAAATTACACACTTTACATAAAGTTTTGTTTCTACATAAAGTCTAGTTCTACAATATCCTATTTATTTTATTATTTTTTTCCAGTGGAAAACGATATCAATATTTTTTGTTTAGTTTTATATAAAGTGATAACTACTAGCCTAACTAAACATTAGGCTTTAAAGATGTAGTTTTCTAGTTTGATTCTCTGTTCGTAATATATGATCTTGGGATCACATAATTATTTTTTCAGCTTGAAAAAATATTTAGACACTACATCAATATATATAATATAAATAATTGTTTACAGGTGATGAGAAAATATTACAAACAATATTGAGAAATATTAATGCTAATATACCTCATATACCAATGGAAATTTATGATAATCTAAGTGCAAGAAACAATAATAGTTGTCAGACAAATGCTTCTGTATCTGCAACCTGTGGTAAATGTAAATTATTTGGCATATTAAAATTATTTCTGAAAATGTTAATTATAATAAACATTGAAAATCTGTTTAATTTTTTAGTAAAAACACACAAAACGGTAATTTGTAATAGTACAAATAATAATGGAAATGATATCTTCAATCCAGACCATAGTCTAATGAATGCTTCTGTAACTGTATCAAATAATGATAAGATTGCAAAAGATAGTAATCAGATAAACGCTTCTGCATCTGCAGCAACCAACGATGAAACTGTTATCTTCAATCAAGAACATAGTCGCCAAACAAATGTTTTTGTATCTATACCAAGTAGTGATGAAAATGACATCTCCAATCGAGGACATAATTGCAACACAAATGCTTCCGTACCTGCATCAAATAATGATGAGACTGATATCTTTGATCCGAAAGATGGTCGTAAGACAAATTCTTCTGCACCTGCATTAACCAACGATGAGACTGATATTTCTAATCAAAAACATACTTGCTATACAAATGCTTTTGTATCTGCACCAAGTAATGATAAGACTAATATTTCAAGTGGAGAACATAGTTGCTATACAAATGCTTCTGTATCTGCTCTAAGGAAAGATGAGACTCATATCTCTAATCGGAAATTATATTGTCAAAGGGATCTTCATGATGAACATTTCTCTGACAATACAATCTTCGATGAAATTGATATATTCAATCAAGACTATGAATATCAAGAAAATGATGAAAATCCAGAATATAATAAATACATGTCATTAACGTTAAAATTATTTAAAATATGATTTATTGTATAAATATTCAAAGAATTATTTGTACTATTTTTTTAGTGTTTGAAATTGACGCAACATTGATAGACTTGTTTAATATAAATAATAATCATGGAAATAATACCGAAAAAATACATATGGAAACTTTAATTCCTTGTAAGTAACAATTTTATTGTAGATAATTTTACATGCGATGTTTTAAAAAAATATTATGTTTAATAAATTAATATTTCGATGTATATTTCTTGTTTCTTGTTCATTGCTGGTGAATTATATAGTAAATAATATTTTACTGTGAGCACAATGAATTATTTTCATAATGATAGTTTTATTTTCCATTATAATTTGTGTCATGAAACATACTTTCTTTTATGTCTATAGCTGCAAATGGATCCGACTCTAATAATATAGATAACTGTTCTAAGAAATTAACATTTAACATTACTGGTATGTATAAAGCTATAATGTAAAAATATTAAAATATAAAAAGATCTATACTTTCAAGAAGTAATGATAATTGTATAATTACAAGCACGTTACTTTAAAAATCTTAATTTTGATATTATTTTAACGCTAAAACTGAGACAGAATAGTCCTGCTCTAATCTTTGAAACATTTTCTAAAGAATTATAACATTATTAATATTAAACTCAGGCAAATAAGAGCTAGAACACAGTTATTATTCGTGTGTGATTATACAAGATTCTTTTCTTCTTTAATTCATACAAATTAAGAACAAAAAATCAACGTTTCGGTTGTTATTTGCAACCATTGTCAGAATAAAATACT